CTGTTGCTGCTCGTGAGGTGACAGTTTTTGGAATGGTCAGTTGTCGTCGCCAGAAAAGGGCTGTGTAGTGAGAGGGATTAATAGGTGACTCCGCTCAAAGGTTTGGGTGTTAGGTGCTTAGAATTTGCCTCAATAACGTCAGTGAGAGGCCATTCTGAATGCTGTCTTCAAGTAAATACTTCTGCTGTTGACATCATTACAAGATTGCAACACCAGATTCGTTGACTTCTTTGCAGCCATTAGAAAGTGACTAACTGTGAGCATGAGGAAGAATTCGTATCTCATTTCTGTTATTCCGGATGTTTTTGCTTGACGAAAGTAGATTCAGTGCCATCACCTGGAAGACATCGGATCTTCGACTTAGAATCTAACGCATGATTACTAATTGCACTTGGGATATGGGGCAGTCTACTTAGTGCTGAAGTAATCATTTATAGTTTCAAGGCGATACTTATAATGATTGAAGGCGATTATGGAAGCATCGATAAGTGAAATAATGTACTTAGGCTGACATCTTTGGCAAATTTCAGAGGGAGAAATCTTAGAACGTGTGTTTTAGGTGAAAACGGGCAACGGCCTACGCATTGAAGGTGTTCTTGGATGTTGTGCCAGTGGTAATGTACGTAACGCTTGCGTATCGGATACGGAAATGGGCATCGGAGGCACGTGTCAGTGGAAATTCTGCTCGCTTACGCCAAGGACTACCATGTGTGTCCTGTTTGAAATATCAGCACAGGTAGGCAGACATCATCAGATTGTTGTGGTTGGATTTAGATTTTCATCTCATTTGCTTCTGTTGGAGAAACGAGGGGGGGGGGGGGGGNAAGGGGTCGAAGTTCTAAAATAAGAACCCACACAAGTAAGCACTGAACGTGAATCTGCTTGCTGTTGCTCTAAGGGGTATGACGAAGAATTGGATAATTGATCAAGGGCACCACTCACGATTAAACTGGTCCCTTGGGTTTTTCCTTGGAATGAGCCTGTGACAAGGATAGCACAAGAGATGCTGCCGGGTCAAAAAATAGCGTAGATCGGGCGTGGAAGTGCTATAAAACCGGTTTGACCGAAGTATACTCCCGAGACGGATAGTTCTCACGGAGTTGTAGAGGCTGTACAGCTTGCACAATTCGCACCAGGATGTACACTCTGCTCGCAGACAGCTTACTGTACCCAGCTGTACGCAATGGCACGCACATTTGGACAGCTCGTCCGAAGATCACTCCGTGCAACTTTTTGGTCACATTATCGATCAATCCATATACAACCCATGCTTTGCTACTTATTCAAAGCACTGCGTTTCTCTAAGTGACCTGATTTCCCCATTTCCTTCACCTTTTTGCACTATTCTACACTATCACTTCCTCTAGTCGTCCGGCGCTAGGTAACACAAAATTATCGTGAAGTGCGCCTCGAACATTATTATCTCTAGTTTGAATGTCATAGAATCAGGTAGTGTTTTGGTGATACCTACTCTTCCACCCTTCCTCTGAAAATCTGTTAATGAATTCACGGGTGATGTAACACAGACGACGTGCCCCATTCGACGATTTGCTTTTCATTCTATGATTCGACTCCCAATTTAACCTTCAATGCAGGAATACGGCTTTCGAACGAGAGTCGGTGCATGCACCAAAACGCACTAAAGTGTTCCTGTATTACGTGGGGAAGAATCCTATGCATGGTTTATCAGCGCAAAGTGCTTTTCTGGAATTTTCACTCATCATTCTGTGCCTATCGCAGCAGTCTGATGAATCCTACGTCGATGCAATAGCGAGCGGACTCTTGAAAATCACGCTACAGTACGCTTGACATATTAATGAGCTCTCTTGTCGATATCCTTAAAGTGGCCTTAGTGCTTTCTGTGATTGATGGAAGAACTTCAGAGAGAGCGATTAACTTGACGTGATCATACCAAAGGCCCTGGGAATTCAATGCATTTCAGAACCCTTTTCACTGGGAGCTTTTCATTTTAAAGCATGGTCATCATTGAAGGTGCAACTATGCTAGGACGATGCCATAAGCTAAAAAATAATGCCTAGAAATTTGTTTTTAGCATGGATCCGCAGTTGCACAAGGCGCACGAGGAATGGTGCAGTTTGTGACGCAGTACCAACATGCCGACGGTAGAAAACGGATTCGTGTCACTACCACTTGCAGATCCTGGGCTGACATGGCCACCCAGCAGCCAAATATAGCATATGGCTTCGATCAGGTCAGTCTTACGTGTCATCTGAGCTGTTTCACTTGATAGGTCTTAGCAATCTGATGTTTCATCTGCTTCTTTCTGAGAAGATATATTTCTTGAGAAGCTTCCGTTGAGCTAAATTCCTCTTTAACCAGTCTGGATTGGTACTTAGGATTTAGCTTCTTCATGTATCCATCAATTTAATGGAAGTGGCCTTATCAGATTTAGCCTACTTGTGACTCCAAAATCCTCCAAGAACTGAGGACGTCAAGTAATTTGCGTGATTAGATGGCAAGTCTTCGTCTGGAAATCGGTTTAAGAACGTACTTATCCTGGTCATCAGATCAGTGTTCTTTTATCTTCACTGAGATTTTCTTCGTGCACAGATTGTCTCATAAGCATGACCCGGATGGCAGTGACTTGATAATCTAGTGATCTAGTCACTTGCTCAAAGCTCAAGAGATTTGCACAACTTGAGACTGACCTATAGGAACTATCAAGTTCTTTCCTATATGAAAGAGGTTGAAATAATTTTGGGTCCTTGTGCAAGGGAATCTGAATGCGCTTTGTAGCTTCTTCTCGCTTCTTAAACTAAATTAATTATCAAATCGGCATTCATCTATCCCTTTTTGAATTGCGCCCATGTTTCCATTCGGGACCACAGTGGTGTTTGTCTGTTTTGGGTTCTTAAGAAAAACTGGCGGAACCGCCGATACACAGTTCGGTGTTGTCGTCTACCCAAGCCGTACTGAATTCAGAGAGTTCGTACTCCCAGTCGGCTCGAAAGGGTGTGATAGCTCGCGTCCTGGCACTGCTCTACCTCCCGCTCGCCTCTGAGAATGTTTAGGTATAATGTGGAACATTCTTGATACTTCCATTTTGGGTATGGAGACGTTAACGAAAGTTCGACTTACTTCTAAAAACACAAACTTTTTAGCGGTAGCCCACTCGAAAATAAAAGAGTGCTTGTGGTCGGAACCGAGGCGCAACCACGCGCAAATTGGACTTTACACTTGGGTACACCATCAGCATCATTACTAGCCGCCTCCAGTGTTGAGTATCAACAAAATTCTATAATAATGGGCGTACAGACCAAGGCCGGGCCAACATTGCGATCATTTATGAAAGTGCACTGTCTGCCCCAAATGGGTTTCCGAAGTCAGTTGTCATTGGCGACGAATCATGGATTCTCCGGTGATGATATTACGCGTCGAGTCTTTGGTTTTCAAGGTAAACAGCGTCCAATACAGCTGAGGCAGGAAATGAACACTACTGATTTTGCGGGATTCCCGAAAAATCATCGAAACTTCCTGAGGGTTTCATTTCAGCTGCTGTTAGGTCTTGAATAGACAGTAACCGTAACTTTCATACAAAACAACTAGAAAATAGACTCTGGTAACCGGAAAACTGGCGCTGATTTCTCCTACTCCACAGGTTTCGTCGCAGAGAAAGACTGTCAAAGCTTGAAGCAACTTGGAGGGGAAACAGATTTGACCTGGCGTTTCTTCCCGAAGCAGCTCCTCCCATTTATCAATTTCGAAAGTTCCAAAGCTACACTTCGTAAAAAATGGAAGTAAGGGTCTTGAACTAGTGCCACAAATTGTTCAACAACCTATGAGTCCTTTCCTCAACGAAGCTCTTTCCGCTTTTCAGAATAGGGGTGGCTTTTCGATAATGATGATGTATGTGGTGTGACTGAAATTGAATTTAATGGGTTTTTCATGAGTCTTGCATTTATTTCGACAAGGGAAATACTTCCAAAGTAACCAAAACCGCGCCCTCCCCCTTTGACTTTCATGTCCTTTTCAAGAAGGGTGTCGAACTGGTAGCGAGGCCTCTGGGTAAAACTCTTTATTGAGTCGATCAGAGTTCATGTGGATTTCCTCATTGTATAGGGCAGAAGATTAGTGCGGCTTTGCGATATGTTCGGTTTCCAACGCTCCTCGCTCGATCATCATGGGGTCTGGTGATGTCGCGATGGGGGATTGAAAATTAGAATAACTTTGAAGGTGAAGGCTTCTAAGGAACAGCCCTTTGTCAAGTTGATCAGAGAGGCGGGTTCAAGAGGTTGTGCGAAAAGTTCACAATCGTGTAAGCTGGAAACTGATCGGTCCGTATACTTCTTCTGGACACCTTCAAATGATATTATTTTCAGGAAGCCGGAGCAGTAGCTATAGCGAGACTAGCATCATGGAGAGCTACCAACGAGAACGACACTCCAGAAGCGCTCAGATGGCTTGATCGTACCCTCATTAGATTGGTAAGACAGCTTTTTTTTTGTTAGAAGGTTGCCATTGTGATCTTAAATGACTTTCATTCAGTGCCAGAAATTCGGTGAATACGCTAAAGACGATCCCAATTCATTCCGACTGTCGGATAAATTCTCACTTTTCCCCCAATTCATGTTCCACTTGAGAAGATCACAGTTCCTACAGGTGTTCAACAATTCACCCGACGAAACTGCATATTATAGGTAAGTTTTACCTTGGATCTTCGATTACGAAATTGCTCATTCGAAAGTAATCCTTGATAGTTTGCCTCGTCACCAAAGCTTTATCTGTAAAAATGTAATAGTTTTCCCACCCATCTATACCTGCCGGAGGGGTTAGGTACTGTAGTCTCACATCTTTTGAAGGCACAGTTCACGATCATTCCGGGATAACTAGATGCAGGCGAGTAATACAAGTGATAGCCAAGCTAATAAAAGCGGAAAAGTGGCGAAGAAAGCGCAAGAAATAGCGTATCCAAAAGAATAGAATGCCTCAAAAAAGTGCAAAATCAGGGGATGGACAAAAAGGTGACGGTAAAAGTTGCAAAGAGGGAGTACTTGGACTGGGGTGTGGTGCAGTAGGAACGAAATTGTCGCGTCGCGGTGAGAACCGTATCTAGGCTGTTTTTCGACCAGACAACGTCCCTTGTGCTATCCTTGGGGGTCACATGCTCATCTCAAGCAGAAATCTCAGAACCATTTTTATCGTGAACTAAGCCTTCAAGGCTTTATTGTCTATTGCTTATCTTTTGTTGCGGCACACCCGCCGTTTGAACGAGAAACAGCCAAGCCGGTTCAGAGTTCAAAATTTTACTGGCAGTTTTTTGTTCTTTTATCTAGCTTTGGAGTTTGATTGGCAAGCGTGAAAAGAGGGCTATTTTCAGGCATATATTGTTTTCTGAAAATGTACTTGAGAGCACAACTATGATCCAACCAGTGCTGTTCAGCTACTCGTTCAGGTGAGAGATCAAATCGAAACTCATTATTTTTGTATAACCATTTTGTTTTTGAAATTCGTAAAACAAAGGAACAAGGGACCGTACGCTAGAAGGTTCTTTTCTGGGGAGTGCATGCAGCGCGAACAAATGGTTAAATCATTAGAGTTTTACTTTTTTGGTACAATAGCCTCCTGTTTTTAACCTTTTGACGACAGCGCGCCTTTTTGCGTGGGTGGCGCGCGGGACAGACGCATTTCGAAGCTTTCCGCTTCCGCGGCTCACCGTTGAGCCGCGTTGTCCCACGGGTTAGACATTTTTCTGAAGTGAATGTTTTTTGCTTTTTTCATGCGTTCTTTTCATGATTCAGTTTAAAATAGGTGTAAATTGGGTAATTATGAGTTTTCAACTTTAGCTGGGTTTGGTTTTATGCATAATATAGCTTTGAGAGTCGAAATTTATCAGCCTGCACTGGGCGATTTAGATGGTGGTTTTGAAAGGCTATTGGCCGAACCCGACGAAAATAAAATTGAAGAATAAAACTTTCCAAGCTATGTTTAGAAGGTGTACACATGGGGGGCTAAGATTTACTCAAGATTCAGATTCAAGATTTACATCGGTAGTCAGCCCACGAGCAAGGATTCAGCAGCTGTGTTTGCTGTGGTCATGACTAATGG